ATGCCAGATTCATTGATCATGGAGAATAATGCTCTCCCAGTGCTTGTTAGGAGCACAATTACACCAAGTGAAATCGATTAAAATAAAGCCCCCATGCTTCTCCAGAAGCACATACTCTGGTGAGTCTCTGCTTACCTACTTTGTGAGCTGGATCTACTGATTGTCTTAAATGAGCCCAGCAGCAACCCACTACCAAGAAATAATATATCTGAGAATGTATCCTTATGCAAGCCAGTTATCACCTGCTCTACAGCAGCTACAAAAGGGAGTTTTAGCTTCCTGAAGCCTGATTTAGTACATGTTTGTGCATGTCTAAGTGCTCAGACTAAGAGTGAAGCAAAAGCAGCTGTGACTCTGAGTAACTTCAGTGAACTTATTTAGTCAGCAGCAGCAATGGGAACCGTGAAAGTTACAGGAGGGGTTTCAATTTCCTGTACTTCTCCTGCATGATTTTAGGGGAGAGAACTCTGCAGAGACCTCTAGAAAGATGGCATTGGTCCTGCTGCCACTGCTGAGCCTTCCATGTGTGCAGCACATTCCTCTCCACCAGTTGATGCTTGTTGGCACTGACACTAAAGTGAGTTTGAATAAAAAATAATTCCTTCAGAAGGAGCTGTTTCACATCATTCTCTTTTTTTTCTATCTTACAGTCTTCCTACAGCAGCTGCAGGCAAAGTAGTTGTTGGTATTGCTGCCAAAAGTCAGAATGCTCTTCCTTGTTAATTTCATTTATTTGTATGAGAAGTAGTGGGTTTTCAGGTGTAATGAAACTGTCTCAGACTTGATCATCACGTTAAAGAGTCAACTCCAGAGAAACAATACTAGCCCCAGATGCATTTTTTGATCGTGAGTTATCTGACAGAAAACTGTTACTAAAAATAAGACTTGGGCACAAACTGATAACAGCCCATATTCCTGTGTTTCCATATAATGCTTTATGGCAACATGGACGGTTCCTCATAAGTCACACTACAGAAGACATGTGGGTACTAATAATTTAGGATTCTATTAGCGCTTTTTTTCACACAGACACAATGTGCTGCAAATATTAACTAGGTGTCACTGTACCCCTTTAGGATAGCTCAGTACTATGAAATCAATTCGAACATACTATGAGATACGTTTATAAAGAAGTATCTTCAGTCACTGTTTTAATATTTTGTTGTAACTATCAGTTAGTGCTTCCTCTCTGAAGTATTCATGCATTGACGTGTATCCAATTATGCTAATGCTCATATAGCAGGGTGAAAATAGACTCTAAGATTAAAAATGAATAGTTAACCTTGAATACTTGAGGCAGACACCCTCCATATTTTCAGATGTGCTAATTTATCCTGTTCATTGACAGGTTATTACAAGTGTATTTTATTGACCATGTTACAGTGCATATTCAGAGTCCCTTTAAAATGCACATTACTGGCAATCTAATTCAATAGCTCATGTGCTTTAGTGCATATAGCTATATTTTCAAGAGCAAGGGAGGATGTCTATGCTCTCATGGCCAAATACAAATGTTCTTTTGGAGCTGACACAGGCTATTCTACTTGCAACCAATTAGAGATGCTGGACTGCCATGTTGGTCATAAAATTCATGTATAAATATGTACCAAGGCACATATGTTAATTCATGTGCGCTCTAATAGCTGTGTTTTCCAGATGACAAAAACATCATCTTCAAAGGATGCAAGATTGAACCTTATTATCTATGCATTAAAACCCTAATGTTTTTTGCTGAATACATATCTGAGTGAGAGCTTGAACTTAATGCCATCTGGGTCATATTAAAAAAATCTCACAGTAACATCAATGTTCAAGGTTATTATGTCCTGCAATGGCAAACTGCTATTTAAGGAAATCTCTCTTTTTTTTTTATTTCTTCCCCCTCCCAGTATAAAATAAACTCATTGATCTCAATATAGATATATACCCTGAAAATACATTTGGTTTGAAAATCACTTAACATAATGTTGGGAAATTCTCCATATTCTCTCTTCTATGGCATTGCAGTATTTCCTCTATATTAGGTGTTTAATACTTTTAATTAGGGCCTAATTTAACCAGCCCTTGCTGCTCCCTGATAGACAACACTTGTACACAGTCACCTTCCAGAAAGGTCCAAGTCTGGAAATACAGCCAATGCTAAAACCAAACACAAGATGTATTCTCCCTTGCACGCACCTAACTGCACATGTGCTCCCTGGTCTGTGATAAATCCCAGAAATAGTCCCCAGGGAAAAGTAATTGAGGTATATGGAAGAGTAAGGTGTGGTACCATAAAGATATGGTGGGATAAAGATCAAATCTTCTATAGAGTGCCAATGCTGCTGGAGAGAATAAACAAGTTTTTGAACACATGGACTTTCTTCAGTCCTGGAACAGAGTCACTAGACCTCAAGCAAAATACAGGTAGGGGGAAACTACTTGGAGTTTAAACCCTTTAAATAAGTTGAAGGAAAAGGATAACTGGCTCTTGTGAGGCACAGATGCCTGACATCAAGGAGGGGAGGCAGAGAAGCTGTCAGGACTGCAGGACGTAGAGTCAGCAGCTCTGGAACCGCAAGCATGGTTTGCAAAAAATTATCTGTACTGAATTTATGATTTTTAATAGGCAGTGAAATTACATGTTGCTCTTCCTAGACTCATCTCTGGAAAGCAGTCCTGAGATGCAGTGACTGTTCCTGGAAAACACTCCCCTGAAAGCAAGATGTATTCCTGTCCTTGCCAGCTCTTTCTGGTTCTGACCTGCACCCATCTTCAAGCTTGCTTCTTCTACTTCAGAACTGAAGAATTTTTGACCTAAAAACTTCTCTTTCCTCTTAATCGCCTTCAAAAGTATCAGTCAGAATGATAAGAACTTACTCCTTCCCACAATCTTGTAGCTGAGAATATCAAATTACATATAAGCTATAATCTTAACAAAATCTCTTTGACTCTGAACAGACTATAAGTAGCAAAAAGTTGTATACATCTACCTGTTAAAAATAATTCAAGTTTCTGCAAATTGCTTAGACAGCTGAACTGACAAACAAAGAGTAGACAAGAGTAGGAATTAAACCTTAACCTGTGACTCTAGAAACTGATGGTCCATTTGCCTCTGGTTACAGAGTGTAGCTTGCACTGTCGTTGTCACCTGGCTGAGTGAGTCACAGGTGCTTTGAAATCAGTTTATTGCCTCCTTGCAGTTTGGAGGTGCTGCTAAATGATGTTCGGTGGCATTCTCTGCAGAGAGACTTAAGACTGATGGAGTGGTGGAGATCATGTTGACTGTGCAGCTGGAGGAAGCCTGTCTGTCTGCCTATGGTATTCTTTTTCCATTAAGCAAGTGGTTCTAGCATCCAGGCTAGCCAGCTTGTCAACTTTCAGGGGCACAAGGTTAAAAATACTTCAAAACTTGAGAAAACATAGGCTCTTTCTGCTATGAAACCTCTCATTTGAAAGTAATAGTTCTTCGGGTTTAAAAGTAATAGTGAGTTTTGAACCCTGAGGCTTGTTCAGAGATCTCACATTATCATTGAATTGCATATGTTTAAATATGGTTGGATATGTGCCCTAAGGAAACAGTACCAATGGTGGTGGTAAGTGAGCTGCACTATTTCTAGCTTGGGGTCCATCACAGTCAGCAGGGGCAGTTTCCTGAAGGGCCTCATGGTTCACTTATATCAATGCTGGTGAGTCTGAGATACTAGGACTGCATCTTGCACCTCTTGTGAGTTGCCTTTATGTTCTCTGAAAATATACCTGACAAACATTTTCTTTGTGTAATTTTTTAAGTATTTGGGGGGTTTTGTTTGTTTGTATTGTTTTTTGTTTTTGTTTTGTTTTAACCTGAAATATTGCTCAGTTGGGCATAAAGAACATTTAAAATTATTTAATTTTTTGCTCTGGCTTTTGGACTAGTTCATATACCAATGCTTGATGGAAGTTACACAGTTGGATAAGTACTTTGCCAGAATTTCTAAGCATCTTTGAAGAGGACTAGTACTATCTGCAGTGCAGATGGTAATTTAAGCAAATATAACCAAAATTACTTGTGTGTACTTATTGTGGTAAAATCTTGTGTAAGCCTAAAGTAGTTAATTTACTTCACAGCCCAGAATCTAAGGCACTAATTAAAAAGTCTTTATTGTTTAAGGAATTTGGCAGACAAAATCTGAATCTGAATAGTAAATATATTTTCTATTTTATGTCTCTGTATGTTTGCTATTGTTTAACTGTTCAATACAGTATTCATACAATGAAATCTATCAGACAGTATAAATCAATATGCACATGATTTGTCTGAAAAAAACCCCACCTTTCCTGTTGTTTGCTTCATTAAAAATAGCATTTTTCCGCAGCAGAAAAAAGAGATCTTAAACTCTTGTAACTCCTACATATTTTGAGTTTACATATTGCACTGTTTCAAGTAGTGAAAAAATAATCTTATATAACTTCAGAAGTACAAAAAAAGAGACAACATAAACTTATCCCTTTAAGGAAGAGACAAGAAAAAGCCCTTAATATCTTGTCACTTGCGGGGAGTCTTGGCAGAGTTAACAAAAAAGAGCTCATACTTTATTACTTGTCTTACAAAGCAGTGGAGGAAATACTCATTTCCTTTTTCATTATTAAAAGCTACTATGTTTCTGGCTATTAGGAAAAAACTATCAGATGTAAAAGCAAGTACAAAACCTGTTTCATCTTCCTGAACCACAGTATTAATAGATTCTTGGAATATATTCAGATATCGCTTGCTAAGAAGCCTGTGGCAGAGAAAGGAGATCCTGCCCTTCTGTTGAGGTGATATAAATGACCGTAAGAAAGTCCTTAGCTGATTTTAGTGCTTCAACTTTCTTTCTGAACAACGTTTAAAAATATAGGGGTATTTTTAAAATTTTCAAGTGACAAATGAAGACTACTTAGATGGCTTACAACTTTAAAATTGACAGTGATTCTCAGATGAAATATCACGGTCATGGTTGATATGGAAAACTAATTTGTTCTGCTTTTTTTTGTATCAGGGGATTTGGTGGTCTCACCTCAGTTCGGCAGCAAGCCATCACTCCTACATCTCATTCTGTACATGTCTTGCCTCTCTCTTTCAGTGAGCTGGGTAAGATGCCATATGTTAGTTTCTCTTACTCTTGCTAGAGGTGATCTTATTTGTCATCTTCGATATATGTGATGACTTATTTCCATTTTAATTCTGAGGTACTGACTATTTTTGTTATTTGAGGTTTTCTGTTTCTTATAGGTTCGCACATCCCACCCTTTTTTCTGCCTCCAGCTTCTTCATGATTAGTATTCTAGTTTGGAGTTTTCAATCAAAAACATCCACAGGTAATGAACAGTGATTCATTGTTAGAACTGTTAAATTATACTTTGCACTGTTAAATAACGGGATATGGCATCAATGAAATGGAATCTGACACTGTTTCACTATAATCCCTTTCATCATGGATGGCATTACTTTAAAATTGCTTTCAGCTACCACACTGAATTAAGGGAAAAAATTACCAACTTGATTGTGACCTGCTCAAACTTGAGCCACATAAACTGCAACCTAGAATATTTATCTAGCTGAGTAAGTCCGAGTTTGTCAATCAGCTGCTTAGCTGAGATACTTCTTTTTCATAACTTTTCCAGCAGATTAAGCATATTAAATTATGAATTTTACCATAAACATAAAGAACTCAAAGAAAGATTTTACCCATGGTCCTTTTTTTTGGTCACAAGGACATAGTCTTTTGTCTCCATGAAAGTTGTCTCTGCAGCATACCACAAGCCTCCACTGGTAAACTGGTATTCACAGAACTACAATGAGGCCAATACAAAACTTTACTTGTTTTTCTTTTTTAAATCCACACACAGCCTATAATTTTTAATATTTTTTCTCTATCATCTTACAGATCAGTGCTTTTCTGTCTTTTAAAAAAAGTGGACATAGGGGTGGGATCTTGCTCCAGAACTGGTAAAGGGAACTGAGGATCTCCTGTCCCAACCTGTGTTAATGGCTTTAACTTTGCAGGCTCTGCTCTTCATATATAGTTTCGGCAATCACACTCCATGTTTTGTCCAAGTCAATAATCTACTTTTTTTGGTCTAATAATTATTTATCTGTCTGCTTTTGCTTTGGTTCACTCATGAATGCAATGGCTTTCATGGCATTTGTTTGATTTTCCTAGGTATTGCCCTCATTTCTGCTGTTGTTAGAACTATCTGCAAATGTTGAGCTTTGCTGCCTTTCTCCTCTCAGGGCTGTGCTGGTTCTCAGTCCCACGTGGAACATCAGGGTGTTTTCCACCTTCTGCAGATTTCTTCCTGGAGCGGACGACTTCAGTTGTCTCAGCACGTCAGCAAGTTAGCCAAGATCCAGGATTACTGAAAGACTGGGAATGAAGTTTTTGTTCACAGTTCCAGCCACAACTCAACCCACTGTAGGAAACCAGAGTAAGTTCCTAAAGGCACACAGCTTAAACAGGTTGCATATTCCCTTATAATTCCAATTCCTTTGGTTAAAAGACATCTCACCCATACATTTTAAATATATAGGCAGTTCACTGATCAAGTCTTTGTAATAAACTTTGAAGTAAACTTACTCCAAGTAAACAGTGTCTGATGTGCATGATGTGTTAAACATGTTCTAGTTACTATAGGAAATGAGGTGATCCTCCAAGAGGGGGATTTTTCACTGACACTGCTGATTCAAGTGAAAGCTCTGTTAAAGTATCTTCCCGTTGTCTTTGGTACTGTTGGATATTCAGCTGTCCCAGAGCTTCCAGCTGCCTCATTCTTCCCATCAAAGCCTATTCTTGCCTTTTGTTTGTTACCCAGAAATACTCACCCTGGGCTGTGCTCGCTCCCTTTGCTTGTAGCATCCTCTTCCTATACAGCTCTCTCTGGTGCCACTCAAAGATCACACGCCAGAACTACACTTCAGTTGATGCTTTGTGGCAGTGTTATGACCTCAGTCAGAGTACTTTCATACCAGCACTATACTATGTGTTGCTGTAATCACCGGTAAGACAAAGTTGTGCCTACACTAGGACTTGTTTACCAACAGAGGAAAAACTGCATTTAACTGGCACCATTTCCAAATATGTTTTCCTGTATATTGCCAAATTAGGCTTTTATTTTAGTACAATAAGCACTCTTAACGAAGACAAGCTATGGACTAACGTCTGAAACAAAAATCTGGTAACTAATTACTAGTCTCCAGTCTAGGAAGATTAAAGTGCCAGTTAAGGCATTAAAAATGTAATTCAACTGTTGCGATCCACGACCTATTATATCTCCTTTTTGGAGTGTATTTAGCTTATCAAGATCTGCTGAGAGGTCCCCACGTGGCGATCGCTTCTCACAGAAGATTGGTGAGCTTCGGCACTGAACTTTCGAGTGAGTAACTTGCTCAGTGCTTACTAATATTTCCAATAACAGCAGCCAATCTCCAATTAGAATTTACGAATGCTCGGTTTATTGTGGGGAAAACAAAGCAATTTGGGGGCAGGAGGTTCAAAAAGGGTAAGTAAAGCACATACGAGCTGTGAAATATTTTTTAAGCATCAAATAACAAGAACTTATGTCTTAATACTTATATATGGGTATACCTTGGTTACTTATTTATGAGGGGAGGAGGAGGAATATGCCGCCATCTTTAGGTCAGTTTTGTCTGCTGACCTAAAGGGCATTTCATGTTCGTGTGAGGAAATACCAGGTCCTTCACACCCACTATTTGCCACATTTTCCTCATCTCTCCTGTTTATCCCCTCTATCACTTTTATGGCTGACCAGTGAACTAGCTAATGTTTTCAGCTGAACCAAACCAGGAACTAGCTATTAGTCAGATTAGGTCCTTGATCTTGCTGAGAGGCTGTGTGAAATCCCATTCTTAAAAAATGTGTTATATTCTCAGTTTTGCTGCAGACTTCTTGTATGACCTTTAGCAAATCCCTTAAGCTTTTGTTGTTTCCAGTTGTGAAATTGAGATAATTATACTCTCCAGCCTTTTGGCATGTGAAGATTAATGTATTAATATGCATGAGAGGTTCATGTTCTACAGTGATGGAAGCCATGGAAGTTCCTAGTTCAACTCTTTCATGTGTTTGAGTTTTATTCATTCACAGCTACAGAGAATTAATTCCTTCTAAAAGCCTGAGCAAGCCAGACAGTTCCACAACATCTCAATGACATTAAACTGGAGTTCAAAAGAAGTAAAAATAATCTTTAGTCCACTGTCATCTTCATGGTGACTGTATCCAAAATTCATTCAAACCATCATAGCCTAAACTGTGATTGCTGCAGGTTCTAAAAGGCATTCGTTGCAAAAAGGTTATTGTTGCCAATACATTAATAGCTAGTGTGTAAATATTCTAAATGTATGCACAGCTCTGAATTTTGAATGTTTGAAATGTATAATCATTGGTGTGCCATCATGATTTTGGTAATGAGTGCTTATGGTGCTGGAGTGAGATAGTAGTTTCTAAGCTGGTGGTAGATTTCCATCAAGAGAGAGGCTGTGTTTGCTCTCCAGCTCTGCAGAGAAGCTCATATAGGTTCCATTATTCTTTTAAGTGATGTCTTCGGTATGCCTGTCAAGGCTCCTCACATCCAGAGGGGTGCTCACACAGACGTGAGAATTTCCTGTATCTACAGCCTGAGAAATAGGATGGTCAAATAACAAAATACTGAAGAAAAGTGTTTGGTGTTCCCATGAAAGAGAACAGTAGTTCATTCTGTTTCTCATAGAAAAAATCACTAGTCACAGTGGCACGTGTTATGGCACTGACTGTCCTTACCAGAAAGGCAATGAAAGTTACTAATGCAAAGACCAGTAACAGCATGGGGTATGGCTTATAAGGAAATAATTAAAGGGCCTATTTGACTATATAACAATAAATACTAGCTTAATGGTTACTGGTTCAGTGGTCATTAATATCCAGAAGACAAAATGTCCTTACCTGAGTTTAAGGAGTCCATTTGCTGAGTAGAACAGCTTGCAAAGGTTTACAAGGAAGGGAGGGAAGAAGAGAGACAAAGGCATCACGGCCTTCAATCTAGGAAAAAATAAAAGTGGTTTATTTTCTAAGGTCATTATGCTCTGCTAGACATTAACTTCAGTGAGACTGAGTAAGAACACAGCTGAAACTGACTTCTAAATCAAAGGTTTTCCAGTGTATTAAGTAAGATGATTTTTGTAATGGGAATTGCCAAGAAGATTCTTAAGTTTTCTGTGTGAGCAGAAACTAATCTAGGCTGCAAACTTTAATGAAAGCAAGCATTGTAGTGATAATGACAGGTGTGTTACCCATATAACTATACATTCACTAGAAGAGAAAGGGAGATAGAAAGCTGATGTTGTGTCAGCCTTCATATCTCATAATGTCATTTAAAGCACAGTCATCTCTCACCACTAGCAAATTAAAAGCTTTCAAACTTTATGTACATAATTGCAGTGAGCTGTGCTACAACATCTAATAGTCATAACAGCAACATTAGGCCATTTTTGGGGAGTGAGGATCGTTTTACTTCACTTGTTTCTCTGAGGTAGAAGTGCTAGTAGAGAGAATAGTTCCTTCCCTAGTTCAGTCTATGCTAGGTTACATGACTGTTCAGCTTGCATCTGCTATTTTTCTACTAAAAAAAAAGGGAGTGGATGCTACCCCTTCTGCATGCTATTAGTGTGTATGTACCATTGCTTGTGAACCCCAGTCCTTATGCTTGTCTTTGCCTTTACATGGGTATGTTTATGTTTAAAGCTAATTAACAGGTCTGAAATGTTATTATAAACACTAATGTTATTTGAACCTAGAAATGAAGTTCAAGTTATTTTGCTCTAACCTTTTTTTCCTCCCCTACTATCTGCAGAAGGTAATGCTGGGGACTATCAAAAGATCTGAGCATTGGCTTAACTCTTCTTCCATAGTGGCTTACAGTGTTTTAGATATTGCCAGTTCTGATTGCAGCCTGGCTATGTAAAGCCTTCTTTCCACTTTGGAATAAATCATTTGATAATTTGACTCTGTGACCCAGAACATCTCCTGGAGCCCTGTGTCTTCAAGCATTAGGAAAGACCAAATCATGTTCAGACAGGACTGTAGTGAACTGTTGTCGTGG